GAAGGTGGTTTAAAATCTTGGCCAGTTCGCGAGATCCATGTGTACCCATTTTTAATCTTGTTGCAAAGATAAGCTCATCCAAAGTATTTTCTGACCGCAGAGCGTTGGTCCTCCTCTTCTTCTGACGGTAGCTTAATTCCAAAAAGGGTCTTCTTTTAAATTCAGTTGAATTTTGTTGCGGACGTATTGTTTCTCCAAATATTTCATTTTTTAGACCCATCGGCCAATTAAATATTGAATGTAACCAAGCATGTTCTCGGATTAGGAAGCGCTTTTTATTATAACAACACTTCTTCCATCTTCTGAATAAATTTACACAAAATTTCCGAAGACACTCCTTCAAAATCTTCTGTTTGTCTTCTGATAAAATTCTGTCCATTGTTGACGCAATGGTATCGTAAAGTTCGCCATACTTCCATAATTTTTTATTTTTGTTCACGATGTTGAACAGATCTTCATTAGTTTTTAAATCCATAATGACTTTTTTCGAAAACTGCTATTAAAAGTTTACTTTTAAAAATGACAGTTTAAATTTTTGATTTCTCAAAAGTTAGGTTATGTTTATAAATTTTAAAATCATAGCCTACTCCAATTTAAAATTTAAAAATGACAAGACAGAATGTAATACTAAGGCTGGGTTCACACGGCACGTTTTTTTTGCAGAATACATTTTTACTGAATAAAAATCAAATCTTATCTTAAACAGTATATAACGCAATTTTGCAGTATAAACGACGAGTGAACAAATCTATGCTGATTGCGTTACTATTATTCAGTAAAAAACTGTCTTGTAAAAAAAAGTGCGTGTGAACCCGGCTTAAGCCTATAATCTTTGACTAATCTTTTTGTGGTAGTAAATATTAACCTTGCACCTTAGAATAATTTTTTAAAAACTTGAAAAATATCAATTTTTAGTAAGGAACAGCGGGACAAATAATATCGAAAATATCCTTTGGTCGGATGCGGTCGGATAAGATATCGATAGTTTCCCATAGTAGACATTATAGCTAATCTACCTACGCTAATAGTTCATCTTGCACTTTTGAGCATTTTTTTATAAACATTGAAATATATATTTTAGAAATTAGGGTACATTCAATGTTTTCAATATTTCTCAAGAACATACTTGTGAGTATAAGTAAGCATGTATTTAGAAATCTCAAAATATTACACTATTATTGGATATAAACCGATTTTCGTTAACTGGATTACAAACAGAAATATTTCTGTAAAAACTCTATCGTAATTACGTTGCTAATATTAAGTGATTTATAACAGTCTTAATCAAGTAACTTCAAAGCAGATTACAGCTTTTTTAAAGTTGTTTTAAGGCCATTTTATAATGAAAGGGACACTTTTCTATACATTAGCAGAAAAAATTAGCATATATTCGAATTCCGGATTTTTGTCGAATGTCTACTTATTTACAGTATCGTGTCACTGTGCGGCGGGGGGTTGAAGTGAGTGAGTCAATTTTTGCATAAAAAGTTGTCCCCCTTGGTTTTATTCTTTACCTATTTCAGCGATTTTCTTTTTAAACTTCCGGATTTACAGAAATTGAGGTGGAAAGTTTTGAAATGAATACTTTCCTTCTATAACATTTTATTGCAACAGTAGTCGAGATATCTTTTGTGACAACTAAAATCAAAATATATATTACTATATTTATATATATTTATTAATTTATTTGTGATAAACCCGAGTTGAAAATCCAGAAAGAGTGTAAAAAAGGAATCCATAAAAAAATTCGATTTATATATTATAAGTATGGTTAGGAAAGTTAAAGGGTGTTGGAGATTATGCGGTGGGGTTGAAATTAAAATCTGTAGGGTAAAATGTTTATGGTTAAGGTCGGCAGTGAATTGAGTGACGAAGAGGAGGAATCGAGATCGTTTCTGTTGAAGTCTCAGGTGGTCCAAAAACCGTCAGAGGGAAAATTACTAATCGATAACCTTTCATTGCACTCGCCACCTCAGCGTCATAATATCCAAAACTCCTGGCTACACTTCGGGCCAAATATGTCACCTCCTAAGTTGCCAACTAACCTCAAGCCCGGGCAAACAGCGGCAGGATGTCTGCCCGGTATTATGCCTCCACCTTAGTTTGACCGTAAGTTATTTAATATCGTGGGTACTTTAAAATTTATTCGTAAATTATCGATTACCGTACAGTTAATTGAAAGCAAACACGTCGTAAATCAGATTTCGGCCAAATAATCTGCCCTTCTCGAACAGGCATGTCCGTACTAGTTATTAAACCTTGTCGCTCTCTCTCTACATCTACTCCAACGATGTATAATTTACATCAACACCGCATTATATACATACAACAACCCACCGGTCTCTATCTCCATCTTTCCAACCCTACAACGCACGTCCAAATTGACTCTAACATAAAACTAATTGAAAATTCCCCTCTTTAAAAACTAAAATATTGCCAATTAATACAGAAATGAATTTTTAAATGTGATATTTAAGTGATGTTTAAGTCGAAATCGCGATTGTGAGAGAATAAGAAATAAGCTCGGGACGCTAAAAATCTGGTTTAAAGTGATTTACATAGCTGAAGATACGCCCCCAAAACCAATTAAATGTCCCTTTGGGAGTTTGCTAGACAGTTCATTTTAAACTTCTAAAACGGCCTTTCCAGTCCGAACACGTCCTTGCTAGCCACCCCATTTACTCGGAAATGATAGGTTGTCATATGTCACCTGATGGACTTACCGCTTACCTCTTCAGCCACCGAATAACTATTTCTCTACATCCGCTAAGAATCTACCCACTTCAAAAACATTAAATTAAATTACCTTTTATTTCATCTCGTCAGACATTTCATAATATGTTTATAGTAACGATAAAATAGGGAAAAGCACTGACATGAAACGCCTTGTCGATATTCGGTTGAACGTGGTATGAGCAAATATTATCAAAAGGACGTTGTTTGTGCCGTTGCCTGTTCTGAACGGGGCTAAAGGACGTGGATTACCATCGATTTTGTGTAAACACGCACTAAGAAGCTCGTATGTCACGATTTAATATCTAGAAGGGATTTTCTCAATCTTATGACATCTTTAACCGAATCAACTTCACCTTTTATTACTTTCAAGAAATCTTTTCAAAAAGGATACATTTTTCCCATTTTAATTCAAATCAACATTATAAATAATTTCATTAAAATATCTTAAGAAATCTATTTTTCGAACGATGGAAAATTTTGTTTAAAAAAATCTTTATATTTTAATTAAAGTCAACATTCTAATATTATCGAATGTTGGTCTTTATGAAGGTTGGTTATAAGGATAACAGTGGGGGGAATCCAAAATGGCACTAGTAAATATTATCAATAGGATGGTGTTTGCGCCGTTGCCTGTTTTGAATGGAGTTAAAGGACATGGATTACCGTCCATTCTGTATAAACACGTACTATTTGCACTACGTGCCATGCAGAACGGTAGGGCTCGAGTAATCTGGCGCATACAGGTCGAACTGGTGTTTAAGTAATTACGTTGTTTTTATGATTTAATATTGGAAATTAATCAGATTTAAACACTTTTAAATTATGTTATATATTTGTTGTTACATAATATTTAAGTTGTTACATTTTGTAATGCGAAATGAATTTTTTTTAAGAAATTGTAATAAAGATATAATAGCGAAATTTAATATATAAATTTATTAAAATCCTGTATAAGCGATGTTACCTGTTGCCTTCGTTTTATTCTTTTGCTTCTTGGATTTGGAGTTCTAAAACGATAAACATCCCGGTATTTAATATCGCAAGCATTTAATAAAGAACACAATAGAAATATCGTATCAAGCGATTATGAGCTACTTTAATAAAGCGGGTATTACGCATACTTACACCGTTATCAGGCAATAACTCGAAAGAATCCTGTTTCTTTTTCTATGGAAAAATTAATTTTCACATAACATCGTTTATTACAACGTAAAAAAATTTTAGAAAAAATTGTTCACTTACAGTGCTTGCAGCTGAATTCTGCCCAAACTGTAAATACAATTTGTTAAGTATTCTATTCTTAATAGTTTTGGCGAAATTTACCAAATTTGCTAGCCAGAATCTTACTCTAGACACTGAACTAGATGGGAGTCGTCCTCTATTCTGCAACAACACAACCAAAAAAAATTTACTTGCTTATCAAAAAATTTATGAATAATGTGGCAAAATTTTCCGTTCTTCTAAAATTCTTTGATATTATTGGAGCACAATAACAGTATTGTTGTTGCTTCGAATTTCGTACAGTCATACCCGAGATAACACCACTTCGGAGAAATGTAAATTCTTGTGAAAACAATACAATTTTTGATAAATAAAATATGCCACATATTCCAGATTATCTTTAATTACAAAATCTTATAAAAGAATATTTATTAATTGTAGTAATTAATAAAATTGTAGATTTACTTACATTTTCAATATTTATGGTAAATCTTTCACGATCTTCATCAGATTCTTGATTAAGTTCTCTGTAGAATCGTCCTTCGATGTATGTAGTACGTAACTGTATGTTCATATTTTATATATATTTTAGAAATGTATGTGGAAAGAATGTTTGTGTTGCGAATACATACCAGTTTAGGGGATGACATGGGAGTGACCTGGTGGACCTAGAAAATAAAGGTGTACCGTTAATTCGTGCGGGAGGATAGTGTTCGCGAAGTGAGTTTCGTGACATTTGCATATTGTGGAAATAGCCGGACTGGACGTAGGTAGTACATTTGGGACCACCATACTCAACTTTATGGCTTTCACACAAACAAGATATATTTGGTAAATAGGCGGCGCAAAATTAATCATACATTTACATTTCTAAATCAAAGCGTCGCCGTCGTATTTACATTTTCGCGTGCTACGGCCATGTTCATTTTCAGTACTATTTAAAATATTTACTTTTCAGTGGCAGTTTTATATTAAATATTTATCAATTTCCATAGCGGCCGGCGCGAAGTCCTAATACTACGGTAATTAATTTTTTTTCCTTTTTCCAAATTTAATCCGAAACAAAAACTGCTTTATTAGCAAATTGAACACCGCCCACGCTCCGAATTAAATTTTTGCTCGAGAGCGCATTTGATTTTATGAATAAAATATCGTCCGCAAACATCCTACTAGCAAAGTGCCCCGCGTTGCATTCCGGGTAATATACAGCCCGTAATATGGGCGCTATTAACTTTGTAAAACGTAAGTGCTTAAAATAACAATGTGCCTCGGCCACTCTCCACTTTACAAAAAGCTAAAAAAGATATTACCCCTACTTACTTCAGCTAATTTTCGCGGATTTGGCAAATTACCACCAACAAAATCTTCTTCATGGTTGATTTCTTCCTGAAATAATTTACATGATAATATTCAGTTATTACGTAATCACTTATATATCTACACCTGAGAGCAAAAAGTTGGTTGCAGAAAATTATGTATAAAAATTACTCAAAAACGAAAAGCAATTTCCAAATTCGGCTTGGTTCATGAAGAACTAGATAATTTTCTCTATAAATCCCCACAATTTTATCTCGATATCTTAAGAAACCTATTTTTCGCGATTTTGTAAAAATTTGTTAACTTAAAATTGAGGGTGACTTCAAAAACTTTTTTCTCAAATACAAATGGAGATTTTTTAATGCGGTTTCGACGATGAAAAAATACATACTTTTCTCTATAAATCCCCACAATTTTATTAAGATATCTTAAAAATCAATAAAAATTTGTTAACTCAAAATTCTTGTTAATTTCAAAAATTTTTATCTCAAAAACAAATAGAGATTTTTTGGTCCAGTTTTTTTTTCATGCAAAAGCACATACTCAACTGTATAAATGGCGAGTATTTCATTAAGATATCTTAAGAAACTGATTTTTCGCGAATTTTTAAAAAATATGGAAAAAATTGTTTAATTTAACAACTTTAAAAAACTTCAAAAATTTTTATCTCAAAAACGAATAGAGATTTTTAAATGCGGTTTCGATGATGAAAAAATACATACTTTTCTCTATAAATCCCCACAATTTTATCTCGATATCTTAAGAAACCGATTTTTCGCGATTTTTTAACATAGATAGTTAAAATTTGTTAACTTCAAAATTGAGGGTGACTTCAATAACTTTTTTCTCAAATACGAATAGAGATTTTTTGGTGCAGTTTTTTTCATACAAAAGCACATACTTCCCTGTATAAATGGCGAGTATTTCATTAAGATATCTTAAGAAACTGATTTTTCGCGAATTTTTAAAAAATATGGAAAAAATTGTTTAATTTAATAACTTTAAAAAACTTCAAAAATTTTTATCTCAAAAACGAATAGAGATTTTTAAATGCGGTTTCGATGATGAAAAAATACATACTTTTCTCTATAAATCCCCACAATTTTATTAAGATATCTTAAAAAATCAATAAAAATTATTAACTCAAAATTGTTAAGAAACCGATTTTTTTTAATTCTCAGATGCAGATATAATTATTACCGTTGAAGAAGCTGCTGTCATTGGTTCATTTATAGTTACATAAGTTGTTACGTTGGTGTAAGACATGTTTTAATGAATGATAAACTAAAACAAAAAGATTAATAAAAAGTTAAAATAGACGTTGAAGATATTTTGTTACAATAATAGAGGTAATTTAATATTAAAAGTTGGTTATCATTTTGAAATTCTATATGGACTATTCAACTTAATAAATAGAAATATCAATTTGAAAAGGAGGTTTATACTAATATATATTTGAGGAGGTCGTCCGGTGCTAATTATGAGTAAAAACTACTCGGACTTCATATATATGAAACTGTGGGATGGAAAAATAATTGGTCAAAGCAGGATCGGGTTGGTTTTTAATAACGAATATGAAGCCGGATTACTTTCCGCTAATTTCCAGAAATACCGTCGCCGGCGATTCAGTTTTAGGCATTTAGCAGCGTATTCCACTTGATTAAAAAAGGCAGCGGACGCGTCGAACGCATGAAAGGACGCAATGATTGCGAACATTGAGAGCAGATTAAAATTTTAAAATCGTAAACATCAAAAGAAAGATTAGACGTGCGCACAAAGGACTTTGCGGGCACGATATTGTGTACTGTTATTGGCTTTTTGCCACACAGTCGAACGGCCCTTTTTGTTGAAACGATTTGATTTTTACAATAAAAAAAATAAACTCACACCGATTTGAAAATCTCACTTTTGTGCACCAATTTTTCGATCATTCATCAATTAACACACCTAAGGAAGCACTAATCACCGATTGAATTTGACCACTACCTTTTATAACCTTTTCCACCGGCGGTCAATGGTTCAATATGGTGGGGGAACGTTTGATAACGTTTTATGATTTAACTGGTCTTTAAGGAACACGTGAAATTTGAATAATTAATACTACTTAACTACGTGAAAATATTCTTCATATTAATCATAACATTTTTAAATTAGAATCTAATTTAGAAAAATTATAAACTTATATTAATTATACACTCAAAAACATAATTTAATAAAAAAGAAAATGTAAACTATTCAAAAAATTAGTTTTGTTATTCCCACTATGAAATGTCTTAAATTCAAGGAAATTTGCATCCTAATTCGATTAGCATTGCTGTTGATTCATAGAAATGACATTCATCTACATTGTAGATGATATAAATAATAAATATTCTACAGTAGTCAGTTGTTGTAGTATATGTAAGTCTGTGAAGTGTATTAACAACTAAATTTGTAAGATACTATAGCGTATGTTTGGAAACTGATACAAAAGATGAAACTATATTTAAGGAATTAAAAATTTTTTGAAGCAAAAGCTATTCCTTTTTGTAATATCATCTGCGTTGCTACTGATGGTCCTCCGGCAATGCTAGGACGCCATCTTAACAGTACATTGTGTCATTCATCGACAACATTTAGTAGCAAAAAATCTTACATCGCTCACTGAATTATGTGATTACAGCAGTTAATAAAATCAAAAAGAATGCCTTAAATGAGAGATTATTTGCTCAACTTTGCCTGGAGAATGATGAAGGTTACAATCGTTTGCTACTTAACAC